TTGAAAAATCTTTTCAGCGTAGGTTAAAAAACCAAGACGGAGAATCAGTGTTGTAGTACAGATTTGCGAGGATCTTTTTCTAATTAATTATTCATTTTCAAGTCGGGCTTTTAGATATAAATAATATTCCTCACGAAGTACAAAAAACTTATATATGAATTTCTGTCTTGAAATGGTAAGCTATAAGCACAGGGCGAAATGACATTTAATCAGCTAAGTCGCGGACATCCATCGTATCAATTAAATTTTTATAGACTGATTATTTCGTATTTGCGAGTGCGTCAACTGCTGTGGTTTTAAGGCCCACAAGCGCGGGAGGTGGCGGTGTTCCTCCTCCGATGAATGGTGAGATCCGGCGCCGCCCTGCTCGTCGTATTGAGGGGTTTTCCTCATCCAGATATCTCCCCCATCCGGGACAAACTCCAAGCCTCCGAATGGTCTCCCGACATAGTGTGTGTGGTAGTGTAGGGCGCGAAAGTTTAAGTGTGTGTGAGTAAAAGTTTGGGATAGGAGAACAAAGCAAGGAAAGCGCGATGCGTCTGTTTGTTAGGGTACTACCCAGGCATTCGCCTAGTGTTGTTCGCAGAAACTACGGAAAACTATCGATGCGAGCAATCGGCTGCTAGAATTCTTCTCCAAACAGCGCCTCAATTCGACATAGCTGACAAGCTAGAGTCGAAATTCCTACCACGGCCGGAACTGGAACTCTAGAACCTAGAGGCACTGCAGTGACATCAGTTGATGCCATGAGCTGTTGGGATGAAAATAACTTCAGAAGGATTATTAGTGTCAAGATGTTTATAAGATTGCGGTTTAGAACCAATAATAACTAAGAAAGATCGTCGTTTCCCTGATTCAGGAAATCATTCGTCATGAAACAGGGGATCCGGCCATGTGATATCATTTCTGAAATACAATCAACACCTGAATTCAGTTTTTTATTCGATATCTGACCACCCTTCCTTAATTCTACAGGTTGTTAAATCATACAATTAACTTTTCCTGAAACCGTTATTTCATACCATCGAACACTGATGTATCTATGATTACAAAAAATTGAACTAGAGTCCTCGAAGAAACGTAAAATTAGTGTCAGAGTTTTCTGAAGGTCTCCCGATGAATTTCGTATCATTTGATTGTAGACGGCTGGGATTGTATATATTGAAACTTTGCCTGATATCCACTATCGTTGTATGTATAGATTTATTTTTACAACTGTTATCATTGTATATTATCTCAAAGACGACACCTAAAAGCCCTACATCGATAATGAACAGGACGTTTAACGAATAGTATGTCGTCATTAGATACAAACAATTGAAGCATGTATATACGAGCGAGTCTGTGACTAAACGAGTGGTGGGGGAGGGGGGGTAAATCAGTGACAGAATAAATGGATGAGCGAGTAAATGAATGACCGAGCATACGGATGAACGAGTAAACGGAAAGTGGATAAATGGGCAAGCAGGTAAACGTAAAAGCGCTTTATCGGAAAAGCGGGTAAATGGATGAACTGATTAAAGTGCGAGCGAGTTAAAGGGTGAACTAGTGCATTAGTGAACGAACGAACGAACGAACGAACAAGCTAACGTATATATATTTCGGTGAGCGGACGAGCTAATTTGCGGGCAAATCGGGTGAGAGAAGAAATGCGCAAGCGATAAACGAGTAAGCGCGTGAACATGTTAGCGAGAAACGGCGTAAGCATCTGAGTAAGTACATGAAAAAGATAATTAAGAGAGCACTAAAAAAGTGGTAAACGCGTGAACCGATAAATAGGTGAGCAAGTAAGCAGAATAGCGGGCGAGCAAATGAGCAGATGAACGGAAGAAAATTAGTCAAAATAAATGCGTGAGCACTTGAACGCTTGAGCGGGCCAGTGAATGAAACAAAGTGATCGGACGAGCAAGGGAATAAATGAAGGAGCGAGCGTTGAATAGACGAGCAGGCGCGAGCGTGAACAATTGAGCAGGCAAGTGCGTGAATAGATATGTAGGCGATTGCGTCAACAGATAAGCAAGCAAGTGCGTGAACAGATGAGTGGGTGAGCCCGTGAACAGATGAGCAGGCACGAGCCTGAACAAATGAGCAGACACCAGCCTGTACAGATGAGCAGACAAGTGCGTGAGTAGATGAATGGGCGCGCGCGTGTAGAGACAAGCAGACAAAAGCGTGAACAAATAAACAAACAAGTGCGTAAACAGATGAGTGGGCGAGCGCGTAAACAGATGAGTGGGCGAGCGTGTAAACAGATGAGTGGGCGAGCGCGTAAACAGATGAGTGGACGAGCGCGTGAACAGATGAGTGGGCGAGCGCGTGAACAGATGAGTGGGCGAGCGCGTGAACAGATGAGCAGACAAGAGCGCGAACAACGGGGCGCGTGAACAGATGAACGGGCGCGCGACTTCCGAAGCGACGCCCCCGCGCGCGAGCGCTGATCGAGGGGCGGCGTCGCCCGCCCTGGGCCTGGCAGATTTATCCCCGTCATTGCGGCCAGGCGCCGCCTCCCGGACCCCCCACCCTCCGCCTACGCCGCATCCTGCGTTCCAATCCGTTTCGCAAATTACGGCAGATCCGCGCAGACAGGGTACGCCGTATCGGTGACGCACCCGCCAGGGGTTCGCGATTTGTCCTGTGTGTAATGCAAACTGTGTACGAGTACATATCTTACATTTACAAAACGCGTACAAAGTTTAAATTCACATCTCGCAAAAATTGTAGTGTTTACAGTTAAGAAAATTTTCATAGTCTTCTTAAAAATCCTGCAGCTACATTACTGAATTCGATATGTTAAACGTTGTGAGCGATTAGAATCAGATCGAGCGAGTAGTTTCAGTAAGTGCACATTGCTTAAATGGCGGTGCTACAAAATGGCACAGACTTTCTTGTACTAGTTAGATTTCTATTCTCTTGCCCCTGAGCTAAAATTACGGTTTTGCCCCACCCTCATCCCACCTACAAGATATTAGCACTTAAAAGACATTTTTTCAGTATATTCTCAATAAATCGGTCTTCTAACAGTAAAACTGATAAATGAATTTGGGAATATTACAGTGTGCAAATGTCGAATGTGCAAATTTCAATTTTAAAACTTTGAGCGTTTTTTGAGAAAATGTCGTTTAAGCGTTTATGAAAATGCTCAAGTTTAAGCTCGTTCTCACAAAAAACTTGAGTTTTCCAGAAATATCGTAAGAAATCATTTAAAGGACTTGTACTCACAAATGCAAATGGTATAAAAACTTTAATGTAAATATTAATGTAAGAGATTTAAAAAAAACATATGCTTAATTTAACATTTAGCGCTATCTATGCACACATATTAAATACAAAATAGAGCCATTTTTGAGAAAATATTTATTTTAAAATTGCTCTCATTTCACCCACAATTAGGCTATTAGGCGTATTTCACTCAAAATTAGGCTATTTGGGGTATTTCACTCAAATTGATAGTACGCTAATACTATCAAAAATGTAAGTACACGACATTCCTTAAATAACAACTAGTGGAGTACAAATTTAATTTGAAAAAATCTCTATGTAATTTTCGAAAATCCATTCACCATGAAAATTTGAGCTATGCCATTTTCATTCTACATCAAAAAAGGACCAGTTACTGCAATGTCGATATTAATAAAATATTTTCAACTTATTTTTATACATACAAAGAGAAAATAAATATTCTTCCTTCTACTCCTCAACACTAGAAGACACAACTCCACGTTCTGCATGTTTGAAGCAACTGGGAAGACTCCAGTTCTTAATTTTCAATTTTTTACCTTGAAGTTCTCCTTAGTGGTGTTTTACAACAGTAGCATGTTTGTTGAAATGTAGTAGTTTGTTGATCTTTTCAACTTATAATCATATATATTATGACAATTATGATCGTTGTTAACACTGTTATTAACTTGTGTCATTTTTATGTTATTATTATTGCTCATATTGTTATTATTATTAATATTATTATATTATCATTGTTATATTATTTTCATTATAATAATAATAATAATAATAATAATAATAATAATAATAATTATTATTATTATTATTATTATTATTATTATTATTATTATTGCCATGTCTCTTATACAGTGAATGGTAGTGTACGGTAGTGGAGGGGATGGGTGTGTAGAGGAGGTAAGAGGAGTGAAAAGTAATGCAGTGTAGTGAAGTGTTAGATAAACTAGTAGACAATTTAGTGGTAGCTAAAAATAATTAGAACTAGGATATCAACCTCTAATTCTAATTGTAAATGTTTGCAATACTTTGGTAATTGTTCTAGTTCTAATTGTAATCATGTTTGCCACCGAGCATTAGCTCAAAGACAACTAATCAATGTATTTAACTATCTATCTATCTATCTATCTATCTATCTATCTATCTATCTATCTATCTATCTATCTATTAATCTATTAATCTATCTATCTATTAATCTAATTGCATGTAAATTGGGAATTTAAGGATGTGATGTGATAAAACGCAGTTATTGCAGGGTGTGGACGAGGACAATGAATAAACAAACCATAAATTCCTTCTCTCCGCACTCCGTCTACATTTGTGTGCCCATCAGGTTCCACAAATACCCGGTGGCAGTAGCGACCGCTGCACCACGACTCTAAGGTACCAGATCACTAATTAGGCAATCATCCCTGCCAATAAATCCTCCAATTACAATTCGTTCCCTTTTTGTATTTCTTAAACGTGTTATAGAGAAACCCTTCAAATGGTGCTAAGATTTTGAGAAAAAAGCATCCTTCCAAGGTTCCAAGCTTCCTGCAAAAGCAAAAAAGCTTCCAAGGTTCCTGATTGTTGGAAATAATCTACGTTGATATAATCAATATCTGACCGTCTGATTCACCGCCTCCACTGTAATACGATATTTATATTAAACAGTGTTATCCCCATAGCTTTCGCGGCTGCCAAAATTAATCAGAGCTAACACTCCCCTTTTCCCGGCCATCGCCCTCATAATCGCCGCATCAGCGTCGGCCCCCGTCTCTCACCTCCATCACCTCCTCGAGCGCTCCCTCCGCTGCCGCTGCCTGGAGCAGAGCCATCCCGTGATTTACTCGCCAAAAGGCAGGCTGCGCCGCGTAGCGGGCGCCGCGCCAACTACGTCCGCCTCGGAGAGCCCCCTCCGCCCCTGCGCCGCCTTTTCACCCCCGGCGCCTCGGCCCCTCCCCCTGCCGCCACCGCCGCCGCCACTCACGACAACGCTTCCGCCGCCCCTGGCTCCAACGCCCCCTCCCGGAGCAATGCTGCCCTCATCCGCGCCGCCTCAGAAGCAGAGGCACCGCCACCTCCGCTTCTTTCCACACACACACACACACAACCGTACTCACCACTGCCGTCGCCGCAAACGGCACCGCCCCCTCCCACGCTGCCATCGCCTGTTCCCCCTCCCGCGACTTTGCTGCCTTCTACATCTCCCAAGCTGCTGCCACCACCTTCTCTTCCCTCGCCCCAACCAACCCTCTTCCCACGCCGCAGCCGCCAACTCCACCTCCTTCTTCCACGCCTTCATCCTATCGCCTCTTCTTCTTTCACACTGCCGCCCTTATTCCATCCTTTCACGCCGTCAACCCCACCTCTTCCACCACCTCTTCCCATGTCCTTACCGCCTCCTTCTTCCACGCTCTTATCGCCACCTCTCACGTCCTTACCGCCTCCTCCCACGCCTTTACCACCCCTCCCACTCCCTTACCGCCACCTCCCTCTCCCTTACCGCCACCTGCCACGTCCTTACCGCCGCCACCCACGCCCTTACCGCCATCTCTCATGCCCTCACCGCCACCACCCACGCCCTTACCGCCACCATCCACACCCTCACCGCCTGCCCCTCTCTCGTCGCCGCCCCCCTTCCTCGCTGCGAACACCCCCTCCCGGCGCCTCCGCCGCTGACGCCGGCTGGCGATCTCGCAATTAGGGAGATCGCACCCCCTCCTGCTCCCGCTCTCCGCGGTCCCTTCCCCCCTCTTCGTCCTTCGCTTCTTCCTTACGCGCTCCCCGCGTCTTTCCGAATCGATTACTGCAGCGTCGGCGAAAACATGTCGCGATGGCTCTGATCGGGAAAATATGTCTCCGATTCAATAATTCCCTTTCGGAACGCAAACGAGCACAGAGAGTGCCCTTGCTGCCCGTCACGCCACGCTTTGGACTTCGCATTGCGTTATACAGGGATAGATGTCGTCAAAGCTTTGTTTTGCTTTATTCCAGAAATAAATGAAATCAGTGGTTGTGCTGAATCACAATATTTCATAATAAATGTGTGTTTATTTTCTTCTCCGTAATAAAAAAAATTTGCTTCGAATTCGGTTGAAATGTCGTTTCGTTGTTTGGAAGGCTTTAGATTTTTGTAGAAAATGTCTTAAAAATTAAATGAAATAAGGGTGAAGGTGACGGTCGTGTTATTTTATTTTTACACGCCTCTACTCAGCACGCCAGACGCATCGATTCGTCTGCGACCTAATGAGCACATGCGATAAAATCAATAAAATAGAGTCAAAAATTGAAGTGGTTTCGACTTCGATCAGCCGTCAGTCCCTTTTCAGGGCATCCTCGACGGCTCGAATTGGCAGCGCGCTGGTACATTTTTGCCGATGATGCTATATAATCAACTGCGTATGAACGGGCCATTTCTCTCCCATTACTTCGCAATCCGCAACGCATGACGCGCTGCTGCCAACGGTTTAGTTTGAAGCCAGAGCACGCTCTGCGACAAAGGCTGCGCTCTGCCGTCTCCTTTCCTTCCACCCGCTTAGGTGGCTCAGGAACTGATGTCATAGCAGGGACTCTGATCGGGAAGTCCTAGGTTCGAGTCTCGACGGTGACAGGATTTTCGACACTATCTAGATACATAGCAGGTCCACTTGCTTCGATCGGTAGTTTTCCGTGGTTTCTCCCGTCAATACCACTCATGTCCACACAATACCCTAACAAATGGGCCACACCGCGCGCGATCTTGCCTTCCTCTTCCTTGTTTTACCCTCACTTACACTTGCATGCACTACACCATCACACATGCCGGGAAACCAGTCGAGAGCTTAGTTTGTTGTGGCTGGAGCGGTGTTCCGCTAGTGGGAGGTATCTGGTTGGGGAACCGCCATGAGCCGACGTGTAGATTGGCACCATCCAGGGAAAGATAACCGCCATCACCCGCAAGATAACATGCACTACACTTACGGAGCTAAAACATTAGCAGCTGACGCAGCCAAAATCACTAACCTAACATCAATCCATTCTTTGCAAATACCCGCTCAAAGGATAACTGTGGTCTTACGAAAATTACTACACTGAAATCAGTGAAATCTGTGAAACCGTCACCTCAATAAAGCAATAACTTCTGTTAACGATCATTCTTCTGAAAGAGTTTGAATTACCTCTAAGTATTAATATTCCCTCTTTTAAGCTGGCACCTGGCACAGATGTCAGCGATCAAGCACGTTTCGTACATTACACGTGCATTAGATGATCACAACCTTTTGGCGAACTTAAAATTGTGATCTGTTTGCTATAAGAAGCGGAAGATTGGTGGAGATTACTGTTGATTAAATAACTTTCTCCATCGGGATGCAGTCAGATTAGAATTTTGATGTCCAGATTTGCTAATCTCGCAGGAGCGTTAACGTGCGTTTAAGATAACAATAAATAATGTTCGGAAACCGGACGGGACTCACGGGACTAAAGCCTTCAGAAGATGACGCGCCGAGAATCAATACTCACCAAGAAGAAAGAAAGTAATGCGATATTGACCTTAAGAGTGACGTCACTAGCCACCGCAATTGTAATTTTTAGTGAAATTAATTGAATGCCCCGCCTCCCCGTATTCCATACCCTCTTATATGTAATCTTATGTAAAATTGTAAAATCATTACGATTGACTAGAAAGACAATAAAAAGCCAATCTAATTTTTAATATTAAATACTGAATTTAAATATAACTGTGAAATTTTCTTACGTTCCACAATCACTAACAGTGTAAGTCTCAGTGCTGTAGATTTACACCGACAGAAAATCGTGACAAAGCAATTAGTTAAGGATCCTGACTGAGAAGGCAAAGGATTGAGGTTAAAATACTTGTAAGCAAATACCTATTGTTTATTTAAACTTTTGTATATGGTTACGAAACAATACACTAAGTTTAATTGCAGTTGTGACATTTTCTATCAAAATTTTGAATTTTCAAAAAAGATATGTATTTGGTTTTTGAATTGACCGAGCTTAATTTGGTTAGACGTTTCTCAAATAATGGGTGAAGTGTCAATAGGATACAAGTTGTGTAAATAATATTTCGTAACGGCTACCAACTATAAGAGACAGTGTACGTTGCCACCACTAGCTTTTCTATCACAACGTAGTGCACGCAAGAGTTCCTATCTCCAAAACCCGTTGTCTCGGGCCTGACTAACAGTTCTGCATCTCCGGCCCACGCCGCTGAGCTGCGCGACTATCGGCTCCGGTCTGCTAGCCCGGCGCGGTTGAAGGTGTGCCTTGCGGCAATAGGTTTCCCAATCACGGATGTATCAGTGATGTTCACTCGTAGGAAATCGGGACAGGCTAATGATTTACACTCCCGACTAAGAGCTTTCAAGTAAAAAATACTTTAAATAAATCATATTTTTCGTTTATTTAAACGTATTGTTAGGACGTAGAGGAATATACTCAAGTGAGTGGAATAATAGCCATTTTCTTTAAAACTTTTGAACGGCCAAATTTCTTTGGGGGGAGGTGAGGTTTTGAGAGCTTAGGACTTTTTCAAGAGAAGAATGACATTATTGCAGGATACAGGTGTGAAGAATTAAGATGTATAACTTATTAATACAGCAATAGAAGGCTGAGGGTTAGCAGGATAATATGTGTAAGGGAAAGATCACCGGCACCTTCCGTGATAAAACACGCAATACAATTACAGAACTACTGACCATCTTTGATGACGCGCTTGAAATACGAAATAATGTATTAAGCTACCTACAATACGCGAAAGTTTGTGTTGTAGATCTACAATTTTTTTATTTAATAAAGCACATGCAAGCACGTGCTTAGTTTTTGTTTTTTGTATTTATCCTTACTTTTCCCGGTTTTTACAGGGTGGACGCTAATGGGGAGGGGCTCATTATTAATTTTCCACACACTTCAATTTTGTACTGATGTGGCGATGATTTTACGGACACGTGTCCTTCCTGGCACAAAAAAAAAAAACAGGGGGCGCACAAGCCCACTACATATGGACAACACACCAATCACGAAACACACAACTATCCGAGGCGGGATGTGAACCCTCGATCCTTTGGTCCGTGGTCGACGCAGCACTACTGACTTAGCGATCTGGGCTACCCGGATTGGCGGAGCAAGTACATTTTCCCCTCTCCCAACCCGCTCGTTTCGGGTCGGGATGAGGGGCTCTGGCCCGCCGCGCAGCTGGGGTGAGCTGAGCTGAGCTGGGCGGCCGTCGCGTTGGCCTCGGTCGGTTGGCCCCGCGCTGGCGCTGGCGACTCAAACGGCAAGCGTAATGACGCGCTGCGGGCCGCCCGCCCACCTCATCGATAGCAAATGCCAGGGGCTCGCAGGCCGACGCAGCGAGGCAGGCACTGTGCAAAGGAAGACCTGGCAGCGGGGGACGCTTATTCCTCGCTTCGTTCCAAGCCCATCACTGCGATGAGGTCGCGGGTGAAGTCCGCCTGGCGAGGGGGACGCGCGGCGCGTTGAAAGCTCAATCACTATCAAACTTAAACGTAACATTAAGTAAACGCAACACTTTAGCGCACTGTTATTCGATTGAACCATTCAGAATTGTTAAGGCTAAATACATCGAAAAATACTTGTAGGAAAATTCAGTAGATCGCAGCACAATCAAAGGGAAATTTACTTTACTGATAACGTCTGAACCAATGGTCCGATTTTAGATCTGTAAACAGCATTTGACGCCTTTTTAAAATAACATTTTTGCTACGATGACCCTTTTCCAAAAACCTAGCAAAAATGCGAACTTGAAATTAGTTCTCAAACTTCCGAGAACAAATTAAACAATGTGAGCTTATAGCGCGATGGCGACATGCTT